GTTCCAAATGCCTTTAAGAAGCACATATTTATTGCTTATTAATTTTTTTGGTTCTGGCCATCACAAGCTTCACACTCTTATAGGGTGCATGACTTGTCTGTGTGTGTCTCTGATCAAATCTTATTTATTTATTTTGCAGGCTATTCTGCTACTTGCAGTCATGTTACCTCACTCCAAACAGTCGCATTGGCTCCACTAAGAGTAGGAAAAGACACTATTCAGTATAAGCAGTGGTTACAGAATTTGGCCTGTAGCTTTCTATGGCTGTCTGAGTCCTTTAATAAATGGAGTGCTTGTGACTTTGTCCTGTTATTATTTTTCCAGTGGTACTGTTACTTACCCTTTATATGAAATAAACTTGGATTGCTAAAGTGATGCAAGGACAAGCTAACACACAAAAGCAAAGAAGTTCAAGCTGGACTGCCTTTTTTACATAATTGTGAAGGAAGCTCTCAGAAGAATGCCTAAACAAAAGGACAGAGGGAGACCAATTACTCAGCACACATATTGCAGTCTGGTTGAGTTTAATTAACAGTGAACTCCTCAACACCCAGACATTTGTTTTTAAACACTGTTGTCATTTATGGTTTGAAAGGGCAGAGAAGGCAGAGGCAATAGTTTTGAGAACAGTGCTACTTTGTCGCTAGCAGCACAGCAGGAACCCTATAGCGAAGCCTCAGCAGCCATTAAACTTTTTAAGTGGCATGGGATGGAGGGAGGCCCCAAGTGTCTTATCTCCTTAACGTGGGAAATAAGAAGGGGTTGGCCTTTTCCTTCCTCTCTCTCTCTTCTTTATCTTTATCATTTATCAATAAGGCTATTTTACTGCACATTAAAGTGCTGCATAAAAAATTGTGCTATTACGCTACTGTGCAGTAAAATAGGCTACTGCACATTAAATGTCACTAAAAAAGTGTGCACTTGTGCTACTGTGTGTTAGGGCAGTCTAAAGTGCATTAATTTATTACCTCACATTGGAGGGTACTTTTACACATGCTCTGGGGGTGGGAGGGGTTCTTTGATATGAGGGGCTCTCAGAGCTGCATCTCTTGTTTCAGTTTCCTCATGCTTAAATATGGTGGCAGGGGTGCTTGAACTAAAGCTTATTTGATGAGCTTTAGTAAAAGTGCCCCTGCCACCATTTTTAAGTGCAGGGACACTGATGCATAAGATGCAGGAGGCTGCTAGAGTGTGGCAATTGCCACATTCCAGGAGACTCAATTAATTGTGTCTGCACTGACATGCTGGAATTTAAGCACATCAGAGCAACCTCCATGGTCATGTATAGGCACCTGGAGGGCATTTTTACACGTGTAAGGGCTGCAGCTCTGGGTGCTTTGAAAAGCACCTGGTGCTGCGATGCTTGCAGTTGTATAAGTGGCAAAATGCATGTCAGCTCTTTGAAAACGGTGGTGGTCTGCTTGTGAATTAAAACACATTGGCGGTGCTGTAGTTCAAAAGTGCGCAGCCACCATTTTCTGTGCACTGATGCACATTTCACCACTTATATAACTGCATGTGGTGCAGTGTAGTTTGCGTTAGTGTGTGTGTGGAGCAGACTTGACTAATTGAGTCTGCTCCAAAGCGGCAGATCTCCAGCATGTCACCGGACAAAAAAATATATGTATAAATGCCCAGAGGTACTAAATTTAATGCTCATTAGGAAAAGAGTATTAATGCACATGTAGATGCACCCTGTGGGTATTAGAGATGTTGGAACAAGGTGGTGAGAGATAATGGGGGCCTACATGAGAGTTTTCACTCCTGGCACAAAAAGAATATGGATATTATAGAGTAGTATGTACTAACCTTTTTGGCAGACATACCACAAATTAGCTTCACACCCTCTCAGAGGGCCACTCCAATCCCCTTCCCCTGCCCCATTGGTTGCTCAGCTTTCTTTTTCCTGCCCTGTGCTGCCAGCCCAATCTGCTGCTCTGTTTTCTGCCACTGTGCTGCCTGTCCCATCCCTGGATTGCTGTGTGCCACTTGTGGCATGCGTGCCATAGGTTGACCGCCCCTTTTATAAAGATAGCAGAAGTAAGGTTTGCTTACTCGATAATGATTGGTACAAATAAAAGACTAGGTAAAGCTGAAGAAGTCCCCAGTTTATGAGCCTTAAATGGCAATAAGAACAGCAAGGAACAGAAAACTGGAGAGAGGCAAGAAGGAAGCCTGGCATTCAGAACTGGCCATGTTAAATTCAATGAGGTGGTGAGAGGTACAACAGATGATGTCAGAGACAAATCAAAATGTGGAGAGACTGATTAGGAATGAAAAAGTGTATTTCTGAGACATCACTAAACATATGGCAAGGGAAATTATATGAGTGGATGAGATGACACTGAGCAAAGGATAAGGGGAGCCTATGGAGGGCCTTGTGGTAGGTCACAGAGACTAGGAGAGGGGAGGAAGACCCACTGAAAATTATAGAACTGATTTAATCGCATCTCATTGTAGTGGAATTAGCTTCAGTTATTCTACAGGTTTTGCAGGAAAAGGTACCTAAATTAATTGCTTACATTATGACTCACCTGTTGTTTTTAAATTTTTATCCTAGCTCCTGTTGGAAACTTTATTTTTTTTAAATATCTCTGAACTGAATCATTCTTCTGGGAGAAATAATCATCAAGTTTTTAGTGTGTCAAAAAGGGAGAGAAAAACTATCACTTGCTAATTAAAACCGTCATAAATGTCTTGCACTGAAAATAGTGTCATTATTAAGCTGCACATTATATTACTAAGTTATCTACTGTAATGACCAAATGTATTATTTTCTGGATCAGAAACAATTGTTAAATGAGCCCTTTATTGGTTATGGTTAGTAGGATACAGAACTTTTAAAGCTTCATAAAAAGTGTTCAGTGTGCCACAACTGTTCAATAAATTAATTTAAACTCAGGGCAGCCTTTTGATTGTTTGCATTATATTTTTCTAAATAACTGTTGTAAAGTCACATGATCTTTTATGACACCATAGAAATATTTACAAATAATTCCACTGAGGCTTTAGCAAAACTTATATCTCTGGTTGTTAAAAGATCAGACAGTCTTGATAAATAAGGCCTACTCTAGAGATAATTTAATATGAATACACTCCTGTTTGTAAATCTAGTGCTCTGAAGAAAGCAATGCTCAAAGTTTCCAGTGAGCAACTTGTTATAACAAAAAGGTAACTTTTCCCCCTCGTTGGGCCTAACTTGGATAGAAATTGTACAGTATCCAGGGCCTATTTCCTTCTTGGATTTTGCAATAGGAATGACAGTCTGGATGTCAGGTAGAATATGGAAGCACAGCCACAACTTGGACAAAGACCTCAAATTCAATTAATATAAACTACTGTACAGTAAAAATGTTACTGGCTACTAACTATAAAATGTTATGCTAAAGGTCCAACATTAATTAGCTGCACAATATGAAGCTACTTACGTGAATTATTCAGAAGCAAATAATAGCCATAATAAGATTCCAGTTATGGGACTACAGAGATCAAGAATGAAAGAAAAATAAATGGTAGATTAAAAAGGTAGGCCTGAAACAGACCTGTTAGATGATCAAATCCAATACTCTTCCACCAAAGGCAACCATGTTATATAATCTCATTTATGAAGTTGCCAAATTCCACTTTAAAGCCAGTCAGGCTTGCTATAAAGATTCAGTAGCATTTTACTGAAAGGTCACAAGAAAGGCATTACTGTTACGAATAACATCTTAAGGCTCCTACATGCATGCGGGGAGCCTGCTCTGATGCACTGGAAATCCAGTGCATTGGATCAGACTCAATTAAAGTCTGCTGGAGCATGGATATTGACAAGCTCCAGCAGCCTCGTGCATCAGTGTTGCTGCACATCTCTGTCCTGACAAAATGGTGGTGGGGCATGTTGAAATAAAACATATCAAATGAGGTTTAGTTCAAAGTACCCCGCTGCCATTTTTTCAGTGCAGGTATTGCAACGCTGATACATGTGATACGCAGGTGCTTCTAATTAGCACAACCCACTAATTAAAGTGCCCAGTGCTGCGTCTGGCTACATGTGTAAAAAGGCCCTTAATTTCTGATAAGAAATGGAACAAGGAACTGACAAGTGATAAAAATGTTAAATTAACATAATCCAGGCTATGATGCATTTAACAATTGGGTCACTGGAAATGATCTAGAAATTTAGGTTAGTGTGAAAATGTTGGCATTATGAGCTTCAGGAAATATGATGTGAGCCAGACCCTAACCCTTGATACATTCATTATACACTGCTAGATTATATGTGTTGGGGCTAGATCAGAGGGCTAGGTCATATGTGTTGGGGCAAGTGTGTGCAAAGCACTGCATTACCCACTTTCCAACTTGCAGCTCCTGGTATATTAACATGCTGGAGGTGGGAAGGAGACTGATAAGGTCAAGATGGGGAGATGCCATGTTTGTTCAGTCTTTGGTTATTCTGGGCTAGTTAACAACCTGTCAGCCATTATAATACTGCTGTTCAACTCATACCAAGTGCTGCCTCAGACCCAGAGGCAGACCAAAATCCAGGACGTTCAGAGGTAGCTTAGAAGTAAAACTGGATGACACTGCCATTTTGTGATGGCTTTAGAGGTTTCAAAAAGTGTTTTTATTCCACCCTGCAATGAAACTGAAACTTTTGGACATTTTCATGCAACAGATTTGTGTCAAAACACTTGTTTTCAGGTAAGAAAAAGTCAGGTTTTCCATTCAGTCATCAACCTCTCTCTTCTGGCAGATATTTACTATGATCCATGGACATCACAGGCATGCCTGACAAAATGTTGTCACAGCTAATACCTCCTAACAAAACGGCATATTGTGACAACGTTTTATTTCATCAAATTGTTGTGACAAGCTCTACTAGAAAACAGGGAGATATACCACTGGATCTAACTCCAGGGCTCTGAATTACTACACTGGTTTCCTGTATTATTCAAAATGCAGTTCAAGTTACTAGTTGACCTATAAAGGCCTAAGTGGATTGTATCTTCATTATCTAAGACACTGTCTCCTTCCCACATGTAACCATAGTAGCTGTGGTCAACTTTGGCTGATAGTTTCTGGGTTTGATCATCCAGTGAAAGGACTTCAGTTCAGTTGGATGCAAAATGTGTCAAACCCAGAAATGTTTATTACTTGAAAAATTGTTCCCAAGGCCCACTTTCTTCCTCTGGCTTTTCTTTTAGGTAGCTGTGTGTTTGTGAAGCAGCATCTTCCTTGGCTGACAATGATTATTATGTTATATGCTATCAATATATCTTACCTCTGCAATCAAATACTTTGATCCCAAAACTGCTTCTGAAACAAATTGCCCCTGATATCAATACAAAAGGAATTTGCGTCTGTATGATGGACATTTTTAAAGAATATACGTTTAAAGGGTACAGATATATATTTAATATGAATAGTCTATTAATCCTGAATAATTATAGTACATCACTATGAACTCCTGCTTTGTTAATATGCATATAAAATTATTAATCCAGCCAGAATTCGATTAAATTTTAACAGAAGTTGTTTGGTAAAGTCTCCAAAAAGTTATTCTCACATGATATACATTTCTTTCAATGTTCCAGGAAGGACATCACATTTACCATTCCCAGGCAAGCTGAAAATTGAACCTGAGGTAAAATCTCCTAATAAATTTTAATGAATTTGTTTGCCAGCACTATACCTGCATAAATTAGATGTTGTCCCTTAGTAATTTTACCCTTGAAATTCTCAGAAACATGATAGGAGTGATATGATGGTTTGAATTCTCATGGATGAAGAAAGATGCAATGTTTTAACCTAGTCCTGAAATGCTGTGTTATCAGACTTTAACTGCAAGACCAGCAAATACCTCAGATCCTGATCCTGACATGAGCTTCAAACAGATCAAACCTAACTAAGCTGACCTAAAATGCCAACACAATGAGCAACAGATGCACCCAAGCTAGTCATGCTGAGCCTGCCCTGAGGGTTTCTTCCATTACTATCACTTCTCTGGTCTGTGTTGATTAGAGGTAATGTTGCCAGACTGGCCTGGTAACCTGGGACTGCAAACCATAAACAGAATCAGCCTCAGGTAGGGAAGGTATATGTAAATAAGTCAATGACAATGAGGAGATGACTCATTCATTTTATATATCACTCATGACTGTTACCATCACACCATCCTTACATAGCGCTTCTTGCAGTGAATACCCTTATATTATTAGCTTGTTTTTTTTTCTGCTCGATTTATTTCTTTGCCTCTCTACATATTTTTGTTATGGCTTACAAGTATTTCTTCATACAACAACATCAAAGGCACCAGCAATCATAACTGGCACTAGGGCTACTTGGTCAGGCAATGTTGAAACTACTGGGTATTAAACACCTTGGTGCAGAATAGGAGGAATGGAAGAGAAACTTATTGTTACATTTTCCTTTTTATAGTAATTGACCTGCCGTTTGTTCTATTCAAGCCCCTTTTGCAGATTTAATTTCTCAAATAAATATTGCTACTTACTCATATTAGGGTGTTTTTTCTGTGGAAAAATTGGACCTCTGTCTCTGTTTGATATGGGAAAAATAAGTATAAAACACTATGAAGTTAGTGGCATTTTACACGTTACACTTTATGCAGGGCAGGGGAGATGGAAAATAATTTCTTTGCTTTGAGTTTTAAATATTCTGGGTCATCGGATATGACAAAGGACTTCCCCCCCCCACAAATAACTTTAGGTTCACTTTTTCAAATAATAGGCAGAACAATACTTCAGAATTCAGGTTGAACACTCATTTTGCAGCAACAGTGTCTGTGGCTTTTGTCCTCTTAAGATGATGCTTTTCTGTTCTAAGGCTCTCTTACTATGGCCCTCACCCTGTCTCTTTAAACTTCTTTTTCCTGGGCAGTAAATGATTAAAAAAACAAAAATAATACACAGTCTGTGTATCATAATTTCCCTAGCCTTTCCCATTTATATTGTTAAACTAGCCTAAATTGCATATAACTCAAAGTGTTTCTTTTTTTTCATGAAATCTCATGAAAGTTTTCACCTTTTTCATGGGAAGGAACCACTTACTCACTTACTCACTTACATGTGTAGATACACATGTATGTGTATATAACAACAAAACAGGTTAAAGAATAAGGAGACTCATAATCATTGTTATTGAAGTTGTTGATTGAATTTTATGAGAAGTAATCAAATTATATTTCAAGGATTATTATTCCTAATAATTATAGGCGATGCATAAGGGGTGCATGTGCACCCCCTGAGCATCCTGGTATCCCCCCAGAGAGTGAGCACTCTCGATTTAGGCAACAGGCGGCGGGGAGTAGGGGGGGTGGGCAGGCGGAGTGCTGGTGCCCCCCTGAGAAGTGCCACAGGCACTTTTGGGCTTGGCATCCGGCTGCGGGGGACCACTGGAAGGTCCCTCCACCCTGCTGCCAACACTGCTGTGGCCGCCTGCAGACAGTCCCTGCTTGGCCCACCCTCACCGCTGATGTCAGTGCAGCTGCTTGAAAGTGGTCCCGGCTTGCCACCGCCACAACCCCACTGCCTCCAGTGCCACCTGTAGACAGTCACTGTGCCCCATCAGCCTTGGGAGGCACGCGTTGCCTATGCTAATAATTGATTCTACACATTGTATAGAGCATCTCTTAGAAGTTCCCAAACATTTCTTAGAATTACAAAGGATAGAACAAAGTATGTAGTTCTTAATCTAACAAAAGCAAAACACCCTGAGTTTTGCCCAGCATTGGAATTCAGACACTTTAACATTGTTTCAATTATATAAATACTGCCACCAACATCTCAAAACAGTTCTGGGACAGGAAGTGAAGATAGATATCTTTTCTAATTAGATGAACAAGGCCATTTAGATGGAGACTGTAATTATTTCACTTGAAATGTATTAACACCCTCACTACTGTGAGAAATCCCATGGGATTGGTCAGAACCTTTACTTTATGTTCCATCACCAAAGGTAGTTTCTTCAGTGACAGTCCTTCCCCTATAACTCTGGTGAGGCAACAGGCAGGTACTGATTCAGAATTGTGCCATCAAATAACCAAGATGACAGGGATGACATCCTGTATGAAGGGTTTACAATCCTAGGTAGTAACTTGATTACAGTGTACTCTGGAAAAAAATGTGGCATTCTCTTTTTCTTTGGACAACCTGGTCATTCTAAGACAGGGTGAAAGTGTCATATCATGTGTCATGGACCTCATCTTACAGGACCAATACATATGATACAAAAGAAATTATCAACATGAAATTGATCCAGTTGAGGATCTGTATTCTGTTACATTTTACTGAAGTATCCTATGAAATATAGTTAAGGCACAATATGGATATTTAGGGGATTGGGGCTCTTTGAATGGGAGATGATTTTTTAATATGTCTGTAAACTGCCCAGTGCAACAGGTCCTCATAAAAATTAGAGTTCCTTAATAGTATTGTAATAATAAGACTATGATATGGTTGATGAGAAATCAATTATTTTCCTTTGGACATTATTTGGCTGCCTGCCTTCTTACATATGAGCTGCTGATCATCTACCATAGGGTTATGTCAAGTTTGGGGAGATGTTACACAGCTTGGTGGATGTCAGAGATACTGTCAGTGAATGATCCAAGTGGCATATGACATTGTTCATAGTTTGTGATTCATGATCATGGATGTATTTGGGGCTATTTTTAATACTTAGTAGATGAAAGAGATGGTTGCATCTGATCTGCAATGTTCTGATGTGATGGAGATTTTGCAGGATAAAGCAAAACCAGAGTTTTCTGAAGGATTGGTGATGAAGTGCTTGTTGGAGACCTCCTGTAAAATGGGGTAATAAATAATACCTGTTTTACAGGGAACTAGGCTGTTACAGGGCTCCAAGGGCATGCAGGGATAAATAGTGCACAAGAAACCTTCTTGAGACCCTATCCTTCTGTGCTGTAAAACCTGCGAGCAATTGGTATGTATGAGGGAATGCTAGAACTCTTCCTTTGGGGAAGACATAGGAAAGAAAGAAGCAGGGAGAAGGCAGAACTTTTTTACAGACCTTATGCACTCTCCTCAAACATTGGCTATCACATGTGATGCAGCTTTGGCCAAAACCTGATTCTAAGGCAAGTTTCCTTCAAAACTGCCTTCCCTTGGTGGTATTGCAATAGCCATGGGCAAAAACAGGAGCTGTGCCTAACTGGCATAGTAGAGCTCCAGGCTGTTATGCTAACTGATTGAAGTTTGCCAAGTGCTTTGTAATCTTGGGATGAAAAAATGTTCTAGAAGTACAAAGGATACATAATTATTTTAGGTCAATTATTAAAAATGAAAACTACCATTACAGGGAGATTTTCACTATTCCTAATACTTCCCCATAACTCATTTTTCTTTGGGGTAACTATCTGGAGCACTACTTTGTAATCATTACATTAAATGTATATGTTCAGGAAGCTACAGAGGAGTCAGTTTTTTAAAGGTCCTGTAACATATTCAATTTATTAGCTCCCTCTTTTCCAGTTTGATCAGCACTATATGTTACCAAATGAATGATAACAATATCTGAATAGTGCCTTTG